TTGGTTAGAGGAGACCCTCTGAATACTTCATTACAACAACTTCTAATGAAAACTCGATTGATACCTTACCGGGAGTTGAACCTGGGACCTGCTGCTCCGTAGTTGACGCCTCTAACCACGACGCCACCGTGACAACTTAGCGAGGAAGCCGACTGAAACCTATCTCTATCCAGAAGGATCTGATCGCATCGCTAAAAACCGTCTAGTTTACGTCTACGTGGATCAGATGTATAATCATCGAGAGGGAGTGGCAAGTAACAAATCGACGTGGACTGCACGGTGAATAATCTCCATGGTTCGGTCCACTCGAGTTCTACGTTGATTCCACCTTGAGGCTAAAGGGATAGATCTACGTGCATGTATCCACGAAGTGCACGTTGAGTCCACGTTGATAGCCCATTCTGTTCCCATGGGGCACTACGGGTAAAATAGAAGGAATTTTGCCACGTGCCAATGAAAACGAATGATGTTGTTTTTTAACAAACTAGTCATTACAAAGAGTGTGATAATTTGATAATATTTTTAACACTGTCGTTATTGCCTGAGTGATAGCGAAGCCTAGTACTCCATTGATCGAAAAGTTTTGCGTCTGTTTGTGAGTGTATGTTTGTGTGTGTGCGTCCGACCGTCCGTCTGTCACGATCACTCGAGAACGGATTGAGCTAGGGAAATGAATTATTTAGGGTCGTTTTTAATAATAAAAAGACAGACTAAGTTCGAAGATCAGCATTTTAGCTCAGAATTTGACCTTTCAAAAACACGAAAAACAAAAGTTCCCTCGAAATTCTTCGTCTGGAAAATATTGGTTTATATTCTCCTATAAGTTCTAACTCGTAGAAGTAGAACCCTTAGGGCGAAAATTTTGTCCGTTTGTCCGCATTACTCACCGTGTAGTTGAGGAGGCCCCCTCCGTAAAAGTGAACAACCCTAACCAAATGTATTTAGTTAAGAAAATGTTTGTTCTACTTAAACTGGTCACAAGTCACATAGAGGTCCGATGGGCAAATATTTCGTCCTCGTCCGTTCGGCGCTCTTACCGTTTGAGCGCTATGAAGAGAGCTTCTCAGACGGAAATGACCCTCAAACCACTACATGTTTTTCCCAAATAATTGATAATCTCCGGTCGGAAAACCGTTGTCGATAAAATTTGTGACTTTCGTGGCCCGAAGGCGCCTTTACGACTTTACGACTGACGCAAACAGACGTGAGTTCTGGGTTGCCTATTCGTTCGGTGGGAGCAATATTGCGTTATGAAATAGGCAAACAAAGCCCTCTTATCTGCGGTACAGCATACCAAAAGTTGATGTAAGAACGGCGATTGGCCGTTCGCTGTTGGTTGAGTCTCTTTGAATTTGTAACGACAGAGCACCCCGCATCCTCAGCCCCACCATTTTCTAACAAAACTCAGATTACAGAGAAATACCAGTATATAGTTCTTTTTATTAATATACTAGTATATGGAGTTTGAAATGCACTTAAATGTGCCTATCCCTATCACTATACGACTGCATATTTACTGCACTGGTACTGGACCTAGGCCCGCCCGCAAGTCCTCTAGGGATGTGCACTGTATATAACGACTGCAGCGCAGCGCACCGAGCGCAGTGTTTGAGTGAGTGCCCAGCGACCAGCTCTCCAGCACCGCCCACAATGGCAGCTAAGGTTTGTGTTTCACTGATTGTGGATAGCTTCCCTGTTTTAAGTACGGTTATATATTTTTATCCCGTGGGTTGGAAAAGAAAGATCAAAGCGTGCTCAATATTGTGGTTGCGCCGCGCTAAATTTGTTCATAGCGCTCTTTGTGCTCAACTTATCATTTTGTAATTTTAAATATTAATTACC